CCTCCACGTCCGAGGCACAGGGGTATCAGTTGCCTTGGACAGCTATTCCAAAGTTTATTCCTGGGAGTACAGATGTTACTGAGTACAGCAAGAAGCTTCAGTTTTTGGCGGCCATGTGGCCGAAAGAGAGCATTGCACTCTTGGCGCCGAGGGCTGCATTGCTGTGCGAGGGAAGTGCCTTCAAGAAGGTGTCAAGCTTACCTGCTGACAAATTGAAGTCTTCAGATGATAGCGGTGTAAAGCTTTTGGTGGCAACCTTGGGTGGCTCATGGGGTCGTACAGATGTGGAGGTAAAGTATGACACGTTTGAGCGGGCCATCTTTGGAACAGTTCAGAAGTCAGACGAGACCAATGATAGCTACCTGGCTAGGCACGACATTCATTTTGAGGAGCTTTTGGCTTTGGGGGTGACACTCCCTGAAATCCGGGCCTACATTCTCCTTCGTCAGTCTTCTCTATCCTCAGAGGATCGCAAGAAGATCGTTGTGGAGATGGGAGGGGCCTTGGATTTCAAGAAGGTTTGTGCATCGATCAGATTGCTGGGTTCCCGGTTCTTTGCAGATTTGCAGGGTCAGAAGGGGACATACAAGACGAAGACGTATGATGCACACATGGTTGAAGACGCCGGGCCCGAGGATACCGAGCGCGCGTATCAGGCCTCGGCTTCTGCAGCTCCCCCGGCTCCTGTGGAGGAGCCTGAAGGAGATCTCGATGCCGAGTATGTCGAGGCGATGGTGGCGGCTGAAGATCAAGACGCCCTCCAGATTCAGGCCTTTGAGGAGGAGTTGGAGGGTTTCTTTCAGGATACCCCGGAGCTCCAGGAGGCTTTGGTGAGCTATTTGGAGGCCAGGTCTAGATTATTGGCCAAGCGGAAAGCCAGAGGTTTTTGGCCCATCGCATCCGGCCAGAAGAGAGCTAAAGGCAGCAAAGGTTTCAAGGGTAAAGGCAAGGGCAAGAATGCGTGTGAGCAGCTGTTGTTGAGGATCTCCAAGAGCAATTGCCGCATCTGCGGCGAGCGTGGCCACTGGAAAGCCGAGTGCCCCAAACTCGGCCGAGGAGGAGCCAAGAATGAGGCTACCACGACCGTGGCAGAGGTGACCGGCTCAGCCACAGGTGAGCACTTGGATGATGAGATTCACACTCAGCTTCCCGCAGAAGCCGTGTCCCTTGCCGAGGCCCATTGTGCAATTCACAAACCCGAGAAGAACCCTACCCATGAAATCAGAGAAAACCTATGTAGGATGGTAAACAACCTTAAGACCCGGCGAAAAATCCTGAACCCAACGTCCAGGCCTGCGTGCAGTGGGGAAGCTCGATGGACTGAGCCGCATAAGCCGATGCCCCTAAGCCTCCACAGAGAAACCATCTGTCAAGAAGCCTTAGCTACCCAAGCCCCAGCTCGAGTAGATGCCATCCTGGACACCGGAGCGAGCCGGTGTGTATTGGGCCGAAACCTCGTGCCCACTCTCCTGAGTCAGCTGTGCGACAGGGTCCGATCACAGGTCCGCGTAGTCAAGAGCTCAGTTCGGTTCAGGTTCGGGAATAATCAGACCTTGTTGAGCGAGCAAAGGATCCTGATGCCGATTCGGACCATAGGTCGCCAGGTTTTGTGGCTCGGGTTAGAAGTAGTGCCTGGCAGCACACCTCTACTTTTCAGCAAACGTGCTATCAAACAACTTGGGGGTATCATAGATACCAACGAGGATGACTGCCAGTTTGTTCGTCTGCAGAAGCATGTGCCATTGCAGACCAGCGCCACAGGCTTATACTTGCTTGATCTCGCCCGCCTCTGTGAGGAAAGTTGCTTGGAATCCGAGTGCCACCATACTAGTGAAGATTCTTCCAAGCCCAAGCCCATAGATGAGCCATGCATGAGTGTTAGGAGCACCAAGGATTGCCTTGAGACCCCTTCGTGTACAGCAGAACAGGCCTCTCGTCGAACCTTCGTGAGCTCGAATTCAACATTCTTTAGATTCCGTAAATATCCGGAATGCGCTAACGACAAACCCTTGGAATCTCAAGAGCCCAAGGAAGGGGATACAAATCATCAGCCAGTCAAAGAATTGCTTGAATCAACAAAAGTGAATGCAACAGCCGTGATTGCCTCAACGAGCCCAATCCAGGAATCTGTGCCCCGACCCTCAGTGTCTCAGCATGGCCAGCAGCTCGACGGCCACTCCTGCCACGAATCTGGCAACGCGCTACGCTCGTCTGAGCGATGGCGCCATCAATGTGTCGCT